TTTTTTATGCATGCAGATAACTGTATACCATTAACAGTAGCTGATGGTCCATATCCAATAACATTAACAGGAATGATAGTAACAGTGTAGTTTGTATCAGTAAGAGGTAGTCCAGTGATAGTAATATTAGTATCATTAGTATTATTAGTGTATATAATACTGTTTGATGTATTGTATACAGTAATAATGTAATACTGAATAGGAGGAACTGGTATTGTAGAATAGTCCTAAATAATATCAGTATACACAGCATGTATCAATTAATAATAAATAAGCAACATACTTGAGTGTTATTCCACCATATTGTAATAGTATCAGTTGATATCTGATCCCAACTAATATTAACAACTTGAGCTGGTACTATAAGAAATACAATGAGTGTGTGTGTGTGTGTATAGTACTTACCATTCCATATATACTGTATTAATGATGAAGGAGGTCCTTCTCTTCCAATAGTATCAATAGGAATAATAATAAATGAATAATTAGTACCAATAATAAGAGAAGGAATAGTTATATTGTTCCCAGTAGAGTTGTATTGAGAAGATGGTCCATTGCTGTCATTAACTGTAACTGTATAATAGTCTATACATTGTATGTTCTGTTGATTCTGATGCAACCAACTAATAAATATTGTATTATTATTAATTGGATGTATACTTATATTATTCACAGCCACTGGTAGATTCAGATCTATTATTATTATTATTATTGTTATTATTACATATATAATTATAATAATATCTCACTTCTTATATTAATAGTAATATTTTTGAATGGAACAGTATTTGCTCTAGCACACCCAACCAAAGATCCATTCAATGATTCATTTATTGATGGATATATACCAGTACTTGTTACTGTAGTGCCTTCCTTCTTAGTAATATTAAGAATAAAACCAGCAACAACTATACCAGATTCTGGTACTAGTTCTTGAGATACATGACCAGGTATTCTCCAGAATGCCAGTCCAGTAGTATAAGTTACACAAGTCAGTACTAGTCTATCACCAGGACACACTGGAGTATAAGATGGAGAGGTTTGAGTCAATGTTGCTGCAGATGATAGTACAATAAGATCAACCAACACAAGACACCAGTAGATATCAGTAACAGTAGCCATTAGAAGAGGAACGAGAACTGAACAGTTTATAGTATTGGAATGT